CAGAATTGCGAGATGTAAAGTCAGAATTGCGAGATGTAAAGTCAGAATTGCGAGATGTAAAGTCAGAATTGCGAGATGTAAAGTCAGAATTGCGAGATATAAAGTCAGAATTGCGAGATATAAAGTCAGAATTGCGAGATATAAAGTCAGAATTGCGAGATATAAAGTCAGAATTGCGAGATATAAAGTCAGAATTCTGACTTTTTTCTCAGAATTGCGTGATATAAACTCACAATTGCGAGTTATAAAGTCAGAATTGCGAGATATAAAGTCAGAATTGCGAGATATAAAGTCAGAATTGCGAGATATAAAGTCAGAATTCTGACTTTTTTCTCAGAATTGCGTGATATAAACACAATTGCGAGATATAAACTCACAATTCTGACTTTTTTTCTCAGAATTGCATGATATAAACTCAAAATTGCGAGTTATAAAGTCAGAATTGCGTGATATAAACTCGCAATTGCGAGTTAAAGTCCAATTTTGAGGGGGGGAAAAGACTGATATGTTCTCAGAATTGCGAGTTTATATCTCACAATTCTGACTTTATAACTCGCAATTGCGTGTTATAAAGTCAGAATTGCGAGATATAAACTCACAATTCTAAAAAAAAAAAATCAGAATTGTGTTTATATCTCGCAGTTCTGACTTTATTTCTCAGAATTGCGCCTTTACGTCTCGCAATTGCGAGTTTATAACATGCAATTCTGACGAGTTTAAACAATGGTGTAATTGTTACAGATTCAACACCGATAGCCATATAGTAGTTTGCATGAATCTATAGTAAATGACTGACCACACTACTAAAATCAATTACCATTATAATGCAGGTACTGGTAGAATTTGCAAAATAGTCTCATTAGAAAATTTTTTTTGCAAACTCCAAAAAAAGCACATATAAATACAATTTACTGCAGTTTCCAATTGAAATGAACAGTAGAACTCACACTTTTATTCCTTTTTCACACAAATTATGATTACAAGCTATCAGTTAATAAAGGTTTATTTTTGCGCAGTTCCTTGTATGATCCCAAAACAATTTTACATATAGTGTCATAATCATTACATATAGTTCATGATTTGCAAACTACTACATTACTACTAAAATTACAGAAGTTTGCATCAGCAAATGTGTTTTTATCTTGCATGTGCTTTTGTTAACACTATTGGTTAGGTTTAGAGTAAAGTTTAGTGTAGGCAGTACGATATTTTCAAACGTGATAAAGCAGTAACCTTTTAGTAGCTATGCTATGCAGAGAAATCTGCTCATGTACACAATCATGTACTAAGAAATTCTGTTTTAGTGTGGTCTGATCGCATGTTTTATGAGATTCTGTTAAGCAAGATTACTCATTTGGCTTTAAAAGTTACCAGTAAAACATTAAAAACAAAGGTATGTGTTTAGCCTCCACTGTAGCTGCACTTATATCGCTAACGCTACTACTTGTCTACTAACCAAGCTTAAGCTAATCTAACATAATAACAGAGGTCTAGTGAAAAAAGTTATTATATTTAGTTTCGTTTTTTATTTTATTTTAGTAAATTTAGAAAAACGTTTGGAGCATTTTTTGTTCGTTAAGGGTAAGTTTTTTTTTGTTTTTTTTTCCGGCAGACAGTGAATCATCACGACTTTCCTAAAATAAATTCTATATATAAAACAGTTCAAGCATATCACAATGTTAGTTTCAATGTTTAACCTAGATAAATGTGCGCTGTTAGATGCATTTCCAATCATTTGTGCGGAGAGAGGAAGCTGAAGCGTGCTCTTCAGCACATGGAAGACAGCACAAACTGTAAAGGGTCTAGTTTTACTTGTGTGCACTTACAATATCATCAAAACATTGAGCTTTTATAAAGAAAACAAACGCTTTCTGCCGTCTTGGTCTTGAGCAGGAGTGTTTCACAATGATGAACCTAAACTCAGCGAATTGCCTCACAGACATGATAAAAATTATATAGAAAGCTTTAAATTACTACTTTAAAACGAAATAATTCAAATCGAAAATAGAAACTCTTTCATTATGTAATCTGTGCATTTCTCTCTAAAGGCACATCCAATGAGGAGATGGCCAGTCATTGTTTTCATCACCATAATTGATGGATGTCTAAAATTTAAAAATAAGGAAAAGCCTAAAACAGGCCCGATTATAATGTGTTTTATTTTATAATTCCGTACAATTAAAAATAAAACACAAATTATAATGGCATATATGTAAAACTTTGTCCTATAATTGTAGCTTATAGCTGCTTATATTTTCTGATTTTTATGTTGCTTAAAATTAAAATTGATATTTGATATTGATAAAATTGAAATTGAAATTAATCAACCTTAAAATTGAAAGGATTTGCTGCAACGCAATTTTGTATGATATGTGAATTATTTATTAGCCTATTTTTTTTTATCCATGCAACAAACGCTTTAAAAACAGCTTTAAAATTACTTTATTGCATTCCAGACGCTTTTAAAGTACTTTTCACTCTAAATTTTACGGGTAGCTTGAATGTAAACATTGTCATGAATTCGTTGTATTCCCATTTGAAAAATAGCCAACAAATTAATTGTTGTAGGCTAACCCGATCTCATGAAAGTGCGTATAGCACGATTTTCTGCTTCTATTTGGCGTAATATTTCTATGCAGAAATTGACTTTGGCATGCAAAAGACTGATAAATTCATAATTAATGGCATGGCTGGTTCAGTCGACAGAAATAGTTAGTCGACAGAAATACGGGACACACAGGCCTATAATAACTGCTGAAATGTTTGCGGGGCAAATCTCAGGTCAGTCTGAGCGCTCATGGTGCTCACAGTGCGTACAGCCGTACACCTGCAGGCGCAACAGACTCGGACGGTTGTCGTGGTAATAAACACCGTAAACAGCAACCATTCGTGTGTCAGCGCTTAATGCGCATCTCCTTTATGAAAAGCATTTTAGGGGGCCCTTGGCTTTTGGGGGCCCAAGGCGGTTGCCTATCTTTGCCTAATGGGTAAGTCCACCCCTGGCGGTCACCTACCTTTGCCAAATGGGACCGCCCCTGAGATCACTACAACTGGAGAGCAGACCTTTGCAACTCTTATCTAGTGAATACGCTTAACATCTGCCAGGATGGTGTTATAACCGACTGCTTGACTTAGGCCTAAATAATCCAATTAAATGTTCATTCAGCATTCTAATCATAGACTTAAAGGGTTTCAGATGGTCTCTGAGCGAGCGTAATTACATGAAGTGTAATTATATGATCCATTGGCTTACTGTTCTCAGGTAAAGTCAATCCTGCTCTTCTGAAACAATTAATACACGCTGTTGTTGTGACATTTGCAGAACTCACTGCTGACGACTGGATTTTCAGGATCAGAAATGTGAAGTACAGGCACTTCCTGGAGACTCCACAGCCAATCAAACAGCTGACAGATGGCAGAAATTCACTTTCTCTAAATGCACATCGAGCTAAGAGATCAGTGCTGTTTGGTACGGGGGTGAAAGTCTGTCCTCAGGAGAGCATGGCAGAGGTCATCACCAGCCATAAAGCTTACTACAAACTAAGAGGTAGGACAACATCTACCCTAAACACCACAAGGGACAGAGCCTTGAGCATCAGTGCCAAATTTGGCAACAACACCTCAGATCCTCATAAATCATAATTAACTTCCCAATCATTCCAAGCCTTCTGAGAGATGAAGGATCATGCAAGCCAAAAAAAGAAGTGGCTCTGAGCCAAGTGTAGATAAATGTAGTGTACTTTTTTAGGCTTGCCTTCTTTGAGTGTTATAGTATAGACTTTTCTATGTTGCTATATGTGGTAAGGAAAGTAAAACCAAAGTAAATAAAAAAAGAAAGAAATTGAAATTAAACATTTTGTTTTCAATATCTAATATAATTCTTAACTTTATAAATATATATTCAAAAGTTTTTTTATATAAAATGTATACTTTATTCAGCAAGGAAGCTTCAAATTGATCAAAAGTGACAGTAAAGATATTTATGATTTTACAAAACATTTCTATTTCAATTATATGCCGTTCTTCTAAACTTTCCCCACAACATTGACCTTAATAAAAAATGTTTCTTGAGCACCAAATCAGAATTATTTCTGAAGGATCATGCGACACTGAAGACTGAAGTAATGGCTACATCTACATTAAAATAGAAAACCGTTATTTGAAATTGTATTATATTTCACAATATTGCTGTTTTTTACTGTATTAAAGAAAAAAAAAAAAATGCAGCCCAGGTGAGCATAAGAGATTTATGCTATAAGTGTAAAGCATTAAATATGAGCATAAGAGACTAATGTTTAACAACATTAAAAAATAAATAAATAATAAATAAGTATCATTGGCCCCAAACTTTTGAATGGTAGTGTAACATGACCTGTACATGACTGTGAATGCAGCTCTATAAACAAAGTGTTAAAACCCTTAAAAATCCAGTCATCATTTACTATAACCCTCATGTTGCTGTATGACTTCTGCAGAACACAAGTGAGTAAATTATGACAACAATGTCATTTCGGGATGAAGTGTCCCTTAAAGAGCTATTTCTACCTGATCAGACCATTAAAAAAATGGCTTTCGATGGTGTATCCTAATGTAGTCAGGTTGATTCAGTCATATTAAATAATATTTTTGCCCTGAATGAAACCAATTAATTTAGATAATACCACTTTTTAGGGCAGGGGATCACCTGACAAAACATTTTTACACTGAAGCAGATAGCATGATATTAAATTACTGGTACAAACAAGCTAAAGGTGAGGCACATTTAGCTGTCAGATGCAGTTAAAAGATACTCTTAATTAAATGTCCATAATAACCGTGTTGGCAAATGAGATAATAGAATCAAATGACTGCATGCTAAACACTATTAAGTATGTTACATCTCTGTCAGCGGTGCAGACAATTAATTGTAAGTGTCCCGGCATGTTTTATCAGGTCTTTGCTGTTAGTCCTCACCATCTCCGCTCAATTCTCTAATGACCTTCTCTAAATAATTCCCATGATATTAAACAGTTTGTCAAGAAGCTGTGTGGGAGGCCTTCCGGATCTTTCTTGACAGAGTTCCTGACACCATGGAGTACCAGCAGTGGGTGTACGCCTGTCAGAGAGACTCGCTTTGCATGGAGGATCTGGCCCAAAATTTTAGTAGCACACAGGAGCATCTTGACATGGTAGCCAGTGTGAGTAGCTGCTTGTGTCCGTTGCCAATTCAGTCCTTTCGTCTTGCCAATACAGCTTAATTGTGCCAATACTATTAAACTGAAAAAGGCTTTTTCGTAAATTCTCATTTACAGAGAGTGAATGCTCAAGATGAACAGGAGAGGTAAGAATCCCGAAGATGATCTTGAATTCAAGGTTTCCGTATTCATGGTATGGCGATTTACTTGTCTTCATTTTGGGCCCAAACCCTTCAGATTATCTAGAATGAGGTCACCTGACTAGCAGGAGATTAAAAATCTCAGCCTGTCCTTTAAAAAACAAAGTTTGTTCATATTTGGTGGCCTAGCTAAACACTGCTCTCTGACCTGATCCACTTTAATAAGAGGGATCTGTGCCCAGACATATTACGCTTGGGTGTTAGAGCCACACAAACATACTTGGGTTTATATGCAGTCAGCCCCTTTATCGGGAACAATGAATTTTATTGCATTTATCATTCTCGAATTGATTCATCCCTTCTTGACAAGTTTTCAATAATTTTTAGGGCTCTCACACCTGCACCAGGCGAGAAATGTAAGTCCTCACCATCCGAATGAGAAAGAAATACTGGTTGATCTTATAAAAACTGACTGATTGATGGCTTTTTATGCTTCAGGTTCAAAGAGTCCTGCAGAGGTTTTCATCATGGATTCTGACAGCGTACGGCCACTAACTCGTGCTTTTTAGAATATGCACTTAACATACTGATGAAGTTAGAAACAAGCAAATTGACTATTCTCTGATCTGATAGGAAACTGGGGCACCAGATGTTGTCCCTCAGAGGCTGGTGGAGCACACTGTGGAGTTCAGTGTGACTATAGTAGACCCCGTCTACAGCGCACTACTGAGGGACCCAGGCAGCCCTCAATATGATGACTTCACTCGCAATCTTCATGAGAAGGTTAGGTGAAATCAACTATTAAATATATGCCATTTTACACAGATTCAAGCAGTTTCAAGCTACTAACAAATTACATCTCGCCAGAGCCTGTGATGATGTTGAGCTCACAGAAGGTGAAATATGGAAACAGGAACATTGACAATAAGCAGGAACGTGGTTATGAAACCCAATAAAATAAATATATTTTAAGGGGCAGTGAGTGATAACTGTAATAAAAGAAATGAAATGCATTTGTGTTAAGAACATTCTAGAGATCTCAAAGTGAAAAAAAAATAGACAAATTACTACAGAAGGTTTTAAAGCAGCTTACCTTAAAAAATCATAAAAACAGGAAAGCCAAAGAAGAATTGGGTAACTACAAAAGCCGGCATAAGATTAGTTAACATAAGACCAGAGCCATGGCACATGATTTTACAGCATGGCAGCATGTTGGACAATCCAAAATCGATGGAAAGGATATGTAACCTACTGTGCATAATTTATTGAATTATGCAGTTATTGAAATAAAGTTATTACAATTATGCCTAGAATATTTTCATTTACACTTTTGCAGATGCTGCATGTGTTTGACAAACTTCCTGGGTTTAAAGAGATTCGGGTGCTGGGATTTCGGTAAGTTGATGCTGGAACTGTGGGATTCACCAAGATATTACAGTCCACTGAACTTGAAAATTGTATTTTTGGATGGGTAATTCTCTCACAGGGGCAACTTGGGGTAAGTATTTGAAGAAATACTTGGCAAATTGCATTCAGAACAACTGTGTTTCAATTACTGTACCATTATGTTCTGTTGTACTGTAGACTGTGTAGTTTACTCATAACACAGCATGTTTGCTTATTATCTTAAGATAGTAGCTTTTGGGAAAATTGCGATAATTAACCCTCATGTACTGTTAAGATTGACTTTATATTCCCAAAAATTCCAAAATCTTGTACATGTGAAAATGAATTTCAAAATAAACCTATATTATTTAACTTCAGTTTTTTTTAATACAAAACAAATCCAATTAGACACCTGAAAAAGTGAATCTCCACAATCAGTTCTCATAAGATTAAAAAGATTAATTTGAAATAAGTTTATAATGCATGTTGGCTATTCCCAATTCAGAAGAGCGCGCACACAGCCTGTGTCTGTGAATGCTTCTTATGTAACATATGTAATATTTTAATAACTGACTTTATTAAAAAAATAAATATTTATAAAAAAATAAAAAAATATTTTCTGTGAAATTCAGTAATTAAGTTAATTCTGTAAAAGTAGTTATACCATTATAATCTTGCCTGCTGAAGAAAAAAACAATAGAACCCCTCCCAAAACACAATAACAAATTTAATGGAT